CACCACGCACACACACACCACGCACACACACACAAGCGCACACAAGCGCTCCCTTTATCCCGGGAGCTTGGGCGCCGCCACAGCTCGGATTACTCAAGCGTGCTTTGGCGGAAGCCAGCCAAGAAATCTCCAAAACTCAGTGACAAACAGCTACTCTGGGAAGGTGATCTCCATGGCCGCCAGCCACGGGCTCCATCCCTGAGCCCCTCACGTCGCAGCAGCTAAATCCTTTAGCTGCAAAGAAAAGACAGGTGGGAACACAGTCCCTCGGAAAGGACCATTTCTGAACTCCGGTGGCCTTCGGGAGGTTGAGTATTGAGGAGGAGCCACTTAAAGGTGCAGGTTTAGCCTCAGGGTGCCCTGGGATCCCCGGGCTCTGCGGGGGGCGGGGAGGGGGGCGCTGACGCCCGGGCTGAACTGGCACTAGGGTCCCTGCCCGGCGCGGAGCCGCGCCTGCCGAAGTCTGAAGACTGGCGCTGCCGCCGGGCATGCCCAGTTTCACTGCTTGAGCCCTTAAGGAGATGCAAGGTTGAGGGGTGACTCCGTCTCCCGGTGCCAGAGGCTGCCAGGAAGATGAGAAGGCCAAAGACCGTGCGAGCAAGTGGCACAAAACAAAGCAAGAGTTCGAAAAGGGCGAGCCTGGGCGCCAGGGGGAAGGAACAAAAGGTGGGTGGGGCTAAGAGTTACCAGCCTCGGTGTGGCCTCCCATGCCACTCATCTCCTGAACACCCTAGGCACACCGGTCTGATCTCTTCCACCATTCCTACGGAATCTTCTCATTTAGGGTGGGGAAGGCTTCAGGGGGCAGAATCGAATCCTCTTCCCTTTTCCTTCTCAGAGCACACCTACTCAGGAATCTCCTCATATAAGTACACACACTTCTGCCCAAATAGTCCTCCTGGAAACTTAGCAAATCAAATGTGACCAGCCATGCCAGGAGGGGTCGTTTTCTAAGTTGTTGTTCTAGTTTTTCTTGCTTCTATTGGCTTCATTGATATTATTCTCCCCTTTAACCCAATAGTCAGCCTCTCTCCATGCCCCTTCTTCCAATGGAAATTGCCACCACTACAACCTACAGAACTAGAATGCGGACCAACCTCCCCTCCAGCTGGGAATAAAGGATTCAGAGCCCCCTGTCCAAACATGCAGTTGCATGATAAAGTTTTGGGGGATGTCTGTGCTCTGAAATAGTCAAATTCATATTTTCTCAGTTTCAACCTCAAATCTGAATTTTTTTTTTTTAAAAGAGGATGGAACTGAGAAGGTCCAATCGGGAGGGGGACAATTAGGAAGGTGAATCATGGAGAGGGTAATAAATATCGAGGAAATAAATATAATGACTTTTATTTTACGTTCCAGAAAACACAATCTAAAGATAAAAAATCCAAACAAAAACAAGAACCTAAGCAGTTCTTATTCTTTCATATCAGAGCAATGAAAATGAGTTAGAAAGCTGAGACATTGCCTGAATTTGAACTGTTGAATTTCCCAGGTAATTAGCTTTACTTAAAGAGAAGCAATATATAGCAACCTCGGGCTCTTATAGTAGCTTGAGCTTCCCTGAATCTGTGCAGGGTCCTCTCTCGGAATAGAAAAAGACACGCTCCTCCCGTGCATGGCTTTATTTACCTCCCCTTTGCGTGTAAGTAGATCTTTCTGTCATCCCTCTCGCTTGCTGCAGCTGAGCTGTAAACAGCTCTGTTCTCCCAGGCGCTGAAAGTGTGAAGGGAGCTATCCATGGTGCTGACACTGGCTCTGCCTTGAGCAACTGGAGCAACTGCTCTCTGCCTACACCAGCAACATACAAAAGAACTGCCAACTCAGGCAAGTGGCACCGATATATTCATATGCACTACTTGTCTTCACTGTATACCCACAGAAACACAGAGTGCTCTTTGCATCCAATTTCTAAAACACCTTCTTTTTCTACTTTGCTTCTTAGGTAAATCCAAGCTCAAATGCATTGCTCCCAAAATGCATCAAGGACTCCAGAGAAAACTGAACAAACCACGCATTCTGTGGGTTGTAATTAAGTTTTTATGTGCACTAAAAAGGCATTTATAACACGACGGTAAGTCATGTCAAAGTCATATAAAAATACGTTTATCAAACCATGTGTAAATTGGGTGAATGTTGCTTTAAAGGGAAACAGGCATTTCCGAATGCGGTTTGAAACACAACATGTACCTGTCACATGGCAAGATGCCTTGACATGCAGAGAGTAACTGTGCATAATGACTCTAGTTATGAATCTGATATTAACTTGCACAGATTTTTTTCAGTCTGGAAACCCTTGAATTTCACTTTAAGAGTAGAAAAGTGGTTTCTTCAAACAGAAAAGTGGCATATTGCTCTCTGAAGTATTCTTTCTCTACAATCTTTAGAGTAGCCTCTGTTTGTTTGTCCTGGGAAATTAAATGCATGATGGTTAAAGTTCCATTGTCTGTGTTCATATGAGCCATCTCTGTGGGCTATGAATTTTCCCCAACCTCATTTAGCTCTAAGATTAGTTCTATTAAGGATTTAGTGTAAAATTATAGGACAGTCTATAACCTATGTACCATAATTGATTGATCTGAGCAGAAGATTAAAGGCATCCTGTTTCTAAATTACATCAGTAATTGTGTTCATGCATTATACATTGGTACAGTGGAGACAAGTACATCAATCTATATTCAGCCAATAATAGAATAAAACCAGAAGATGGTGATCATGGCTGCTTGCTGGCTGGAAGATTACCCCTCCTCTCTACAAAAGCTGAGTTTAGAATTTATGTTGAGGCCAGGTTTTATAAGTTTTTAGTATTTTGGATCTTTATTTTTAGAATTCCAATTATTGGACAAAGCACTTAAATTCAACTGATGAAATCTATCAAGGGTATAATTTTATACTCAACATAATCTACTTATGAGCAAAGATATCTGTTCTGTATGATTCATCAGTTATTTCCATTTCTAAATATTCAGATATATTCTTAAAATTTCTTAATTGTCCCTATTGCTTTAAAATGAACTAATTTAGTGTTTACAGTATGTTAAAAACTTTTTAGCAATGTCTACCACATAGCAAGTACTCCATAAATTGCACACACAGCGAATTTTGTACGTAAGCCCCCAGAATTAATGAAGACCTACTCAAGAACCCTACATTATGAATTATTTTAATATCACGCATTAATGCTTGAGTCTTTAAGGAAATGGTAGCAAATTTTATGGGCTATTTAAGTGGAATTCTTATATTGAAAGAGGATGAAAACTCTTTAGATCAAATAAGCAATGTAATTTGTTTCACATCTTTGAAATTAAGTAGAATATAAATCAATGAAATGAATGTGAAGTTTTCTCAATTTGGCAAAATTAGTTTAATGATCTGATGACCACAATGCAGCATTAAAAACACTAAGGGGATCCTGAATTATTTTAGTAACTGGGTCACAATCACCATAGAATAAAACCAGAAGATGGTAATCTAAGAAGCATCCAACTTTACAGTTAGTAGTTAGGCAAATTTGGCTTATATTATCACATGTAACTCTAGAATATCAAAAGAGGCAGGCATTTTGAGATGATCTATTAAAACAATATTTCTGTGCAAGCAGGAAAAATTGGAATCTCACCTAAAATTGTCACTTATAACAAAAACTAATGAAAATAGTTAAGCTCTCTTGTTTATAGCTTCCTTTCTAAAAAGCAGTATAAAAATCTCCAACTTTCAGTTTCGTGTAAAGAATAACTAGAAAAATGGATATAAAGTGCTTAACACAAATTCTGGCCGGTGGTGGGCATTTAAATAACAGTTGTCCTACAATATAAGCACTCTATATTTTGAAAGTTAGTAAAGTAATAATAATAGCATTAATATATAGGATTTGACTAATTTAATGAAGGTTGTGTTGGTGGCAGGTGTGTTTGAAGCATAAGAAGTAGGTATATTCCTGCCCACCAGCCCCTCCTCCACTCCAGCATTCACCTTCTCCCAAAGTACTACTGCTAGTGCATGACAACCCCGATATGTTCTTCCAACATAAACCTGCCTTATGTGTATAAAAAGAGCATTTGCGAATGCTATACCTGGTCTATATCTGTTCTGTGTGATTCATCAGTTGTTTCCATTTCTAAATATTCTCACCACCTTAACCCCATCTCGTTCTGCAGCTGAATGCTACATATGCATCTCATCTGAGAAAATGAGAGAAGGAATTATGTCAAGAATCAGCCAGAATAACTCTTTCATTGGATGTAGACTACAGCTATGCTGTCTTCCCTCCAATAAGGCTTTGGCATCCTCCTCCATTCTTTTTCATATGATGTTTGCTTTCCTTTTTTCCTTTTTTTACCCAAGATATCATCCACTTTGTCTTTCAGTCTCCTGGCTTTTCATTAAGCTTTAATCCCCTCTGTTCTACTTGGCACCCCAAGCTGCGCCTGTTCAATGTATTGCTGACTTGGCAGGATAGTTCAGTGGACTGGCAGTCTTGAATTACCATTACAGTCCTCCTAAATAGGCCTCTGGGATGTTGCCTCTCCAGAAGCTTTGCAATAAACACACTTTTCTCTGAAGAGTGTGATCTTGTCTTGATCCCTTGGACTTTGCTTTGTCATCAAAGGACACTGGGTTGGGGATGTTCTTCTTGAAAGGTGGTGGCCTTGGTGAGAGGTGTAGAGCAAAGTCTTTTCTTTGACTTGCCCAAGTTGTTCTGCCTCTGGCCTCCTATTCTCAACATACATACCTACATGGCTAC